GGCGCTGTTTTTCGCACTTTCTCCCATCTGACGACGCTGATTTGAAATAAATCATATGCTACGTGTTTCAACATTGTGTATCTTTTGAGAACATAAAACGATCGAAATAGAAAAACATATTTTTGTTTCTGTCGAAGCTACACCAAACTATTGTTGGTAGATCGAAAAGTATAACAAAATTAACATTCTATAGTAACTTATATAATATTTTTGCTCTGAGGTAATGTTCTATATATATCTCAATATTTAGTTGGAATACTTTTGAAGTAATCCAACTTCAGTACATATATTCTAACCTAATTCCAAATCGAATTTCAGTCAAAGATATTTGTGTATACAATGTTTTGAAGAAATTCACAAAAAGGAATAGTTCTCTTATGTTTATAAATATGTAAATAAATTTGTTAATTACAATAATCACCTTTTTATTAGATTGACACCGGCGTGTACCACCGGTGGCTCATAACGCCCGATGGGACAATTCTGTATGTACCACCGGTGGCTCATCCCGTCCCATAGGACAGACAAGAATGTACCACCGGTGGTACACCCCGTCGCGAACGTGTTAAGGGATTAATCGTGGGTTTCGATTATCATATTCGAGTGGGTTCTCGGCTGACAGTTACACGAATTTTCCTTGAAATCTAAGAAGCTTAATGTCGCGCTTGAGATTACGCCAGTCCACTGTAAACGAGCAGCGGGTTTCGACCTGCCACAGTAAAAAATTGTTATTGTTATATCCTTCGTGCCGACTCGAGGTCGCCTGCTACGCCGATATAAAATATGAGTTCGGCATTCGTGAAATAATTTGTTCGGTAGTCTCAGATCAGGAAGAGTCGGACCGCGATATTTTCGGTCAGTCATCCTAAATATTTGGATATTCGGTCGCAGATTCCTTGTATCGGCTAAGGTGAATTTTGTTTGAAAATCCGCTGCGTATATTTCGGAACATTAAATCGTGGGCCTCGGTTATCGTATTTGTGTGAGTTTTTGGCTGACCTCTTCACGAATTTTCCTTAAAATCTACCGAAGAAAGAATCAATCACGTCAACAAACATTACCAGGTGGTACGTCGTAGTCCTATCTTTATTCATCCATTATTTTTACATTGTCTTGCGATTGAATTTAATCGAATTTCGTGTTATTGTTACAGATCTTGAAATCACATGCGAGTTAGAGATCGTGAAGCAACGCGATCGGACTTCGTCGAGGAGGTGCCGATGTAAGTATTATCTTTATCACCTCATAAAACATCTATAACCTATAATACATAATCTATTTTCACGTTTAATAGCAACTGAATTTAATCGAATTTCTTGCTATTGTTACAGATCTGTAGACTATGTGGATTGCTGAGATCGAGAGGCAACACGGTCGGGCTTCGTCAAGGAGGAAGGGATGTAAGTAGAATCTTCATCAATATGGAAATTAACGCAGCTCTCTTCTCCCACCAAGTAGTAAGTGAACATTCAGAATACTATTTCCTTTTTTATTACGTAGAAAATGTAGAAATTTTTGACGAGTACAGTGACCAAAGAATTGCCCGGCAATCCTTTGAGTGGTAATCTGTTTCCTAGTTAGGTAGGGTCTTTTTGCATGTCGTGATTTCCTGCGATTGTTTCAGGTTCTAATGATTTTATTTCGAAACTGCCAAAGAATTAATCTTATACAATACGCGATTATCATAATACGAATGTTAGAAAAATTAAATTGGTGCATTTGCTGCATCAGTGTATCGAATAACTTTGTGTTCCGCCTAATTACATTAGAGACCACGTGCAAAAAGACGTTTCCCAGTAGGTATAAATCGTATTTTATTAAAATCCAAAATAATAGAGTTTCTTATTCGTTACGAAAATTCTTATTAAACGTTTTTGAAATTATTTTTATGAAATTATTATTAAGTAGACACATTTTTCAATGAATTGGAAGAATCTTAACCCGAGAAACTAACGACTCTTTTTAGATAGGATTTTCAGAGATCCGAGGTTCCATGTTCGTTGCTCGAATCCTTCCGAGTACCCAAGCGTTACTCGAGAGGGTGCGAGCAATGGCACATGGAACGGTATTTAATAATAATAGCGACTGACAATGACTAGCGTATCGTACACGACGTAATTTTCACTTGTGTGTGTGTGGTTAGGCAGTGGATTTTACGTCGTTTTTTGAAATCGAAACTAGTTCAAATCGAATATATTCTATGTATACGATCCATGTCATGCAACGTGGATCGGTATGGAATATATGCACAGAATGCACATAATGTTCATTTTCTATTCTTATGGGAGGAAATTAATGAATAAAAGCTCACAAGAGTCTTGATAAATTCAACTTTACCGATATGGTATTTATTCAGAAATACCATGAAGAAAGTAACTTTCGATTAGAATTTGATTAAATCGCAATGATCGCTACGATTGTCAGTCGATTTCAGGAACTAACGTATAGCTTATAACGGAAACGAATGATTATGTTGGAGTGCAGAGGCGTCCCGGGACGTTCTCCGTGTAGGAAACAGCACCTCAACGTATGAGTGAGAACCGTGGAGTGAATGTGTTGGTGTGATCGCTTTGCTATTTTTTAAATATAGCATTAGGCAGGATAGGTAACTTGCTTTCACGGAGTGTGTGAATTGTTAGGTAGGGCTGGGGCTGACTATCGTTCTCTGTTCGGGTAGATCGCGAATCGCACGATAGTCGGCCACCGGTAGGGCTCGAAGGATTCGATTCGAAGTTGATTCAAACGGTGCATGACGTTCGATAACGGCTCGAAATCGATCCTTCGAGAATTCTCTTAGCTTCCGCGGTCGCGAACGCGAACGCGCGGGAATTAGGGTTTTCGAATCGAAACGATACCGGCTCCATTGCACCAGCAGGATTATCGACTTTTTTCGAGACTGTTATTTTGTCTCGGAATTCGTTGATCTTCTACTAGCTGCGGAGCACGTGTAAGGTTCTAGGTTCAGCAGGCGAATCGCCGAAGAAAAGAAGAGGCTATAAATCCCGAAGAGGCCTCCGACAAATTGTCGAAAGAGGCCAATTTATTGTCGTTACCCCACTTTGTCACTGTACTCGTTTGTAGAAATAGTAGTTGTAGCAGTAGTATCGTAGTTGAATATGGGCAGGTCTCACCGCCCCAACGATCAGCGCAGAAGGGCACGTCCGCGACTTGCAATAGCGTTGCGAAATAATCACGTGTTGCTTTAATTGATTTTGAGCAGAGACGAAAATGAGCGTTGTCAGTAAAAAATAGTCGCGATTTCCATTGGTTTTGAAATTGATTGTTTAGAGTGTAGCGTTGCGAATGAAATAATCACGATTTCATCTTGATTGTTGGGCACAGTAGCTCTAAATATAGCGTTGCGAATAAATACGACCTCGCAGAGATAAATTAAAAAATAAATTCTCGAGATTTTTAAAGTCCACTTTAAGCTTCCGGAAAGCAGTCTTTGGATCTCTGTTCATTGAATTAGCGTTGCGTTAACATAATCGCGTTGCAATAGTTTGCTTTTCGACTTTTAAGACGCCCATGCTGCGACTGCAACAAAGGGCAGGCCTCGCTGCCCCAACAACAGCTCAGTTGGGCACGTCCGCGACTTGTGCGTTGCGAAATGATCACACGCGTTGCTTTAGTTAATTTTGAACAGAAATCGAAGTTAGCGTTGCGAATAAAATGGTCGCGATTTTTCTTTGTATTATGAAGTACAGTAGCTTCGAATATAGCGTTGCGAACTAATCGCGTTTCGACTTAGCAATTCTCTTAGATTTTTCAAAGTCCACAGACTCGTTCTTTTTAGAAATTAAATTAATCTTTTGGATTTATGTTCGTTGTATTAGCGTTGCGACAAAACAATCGCGTTGCAATAGTTTGCCTTCCGACATTTCAGACGCCCACGCTGCAGCTGCAACAATGGACGAGGTCCCAACAACAGCTCGGATGGGCACATCGCGATTTTTGCATTATAACATCTCGAAACGAATTATCGCGGCTTGTCTTTGAATCGATTTCAAAGTTAGCGTTGCGAGAATAATCGCGTTGCCAGTAGTTTCGTTCGTCTTTCAGAGCCCATGCTGCAGCTGCAACCCTTCGCAGTGTGGCATTCGCGATGTTTCTTTAGAGTCGCGAGACGATGTAACAACGGTTGAGTTTAGCATAGCGATTGTAAACGTGTTTTTATAAACGAGATAGTTGGAGGTACCGGACCTCGCAGCATAAGACCGTAAAATACCATCTCTGTGTAAAAAAGACAGCGTTACTAGACCTCGGTCTATATCCGGGGCGGCCGGCTCGTAGAATTTTCATTCCGCGGGCCGGAACCACCGTTCTGGATGAAGGGGCGCATCCGTCCTGGCGTTACGACGTCCAGGTGGGTGGGTGGTGCGTAGCGTAGNAATAAATACGACCTCGCAGAGATAAATTAAAAAATAAATTCTCGAGATTTTTAAAGTCCACTTTAAGCTTCCGGAAAGCAGTCTTTGGATCTCTGTTCATTGAATTAGCGTTGCGTTAACATAATCGCGTTGCAATAGTTTGCTTTTCGACTTTTAAGACGCCCATGCTGCGACTGCAACAAAGGGCAGGCCTCGCTGCCCCAACAACAGCTCAGTTGGGCACGTCCGCGACTTGTGCGTTGCGAAATGATCACACGCGTTGCTTTAGTTAATTTTGAACAGAAATCGAAGTTAGCGTTGCGAATAAAATGGTCGCGATTTTTCTTTGTATTATGAAGTACAGTAGCTTCGAATATAGCGTTGCGAACTAATCGCGTTTCGACTTAGCAATTCTCTTAGATTTTTCAAAGTCCACAGACTCGTTCTTTTTAGAAATTAAATTAATCTTTTGGATTTCTGTTCGTTGTATTAGCGTTGCGACAAAACAATCGCGTTGCAATAGTTTGCTTTCCGACATTTCAGACGCCCATGCTGCAGCTGCAACAATGGACGAGGTCCCAACAACAGCTCGGATGGGTACATCGCGATTTTTGCATTATAGCATCTCGAAACGAATTATCGCGGCTTGTCTTTGAATATAATCTTAATAAATAACGCTTTCATAACTAATCATACATCAACCTCTACTACGCAAATAAGGTTTTGATGTTTATAAAATAATATTTTGTTATAATTATAGATACGATATCTGTTGTGCAATCTGTTCTGAATTTTCAGGTACAAACGTTGCCTCGATGTCGCGAATTTTACCAGCTAGTATCTATTGGGTTGTTGCAAATATAATCTCGGTTTATCAAATAGGTAGAAAAACCTAAATTACTTTTGCAACAACTCAATATCACAGACTTAGAATCCGTACAGACATTATAGGCAATGCTTATAAGATTAACGTTGGAATATCCATCTGCAAAAAATATATATATAGAACTATTGTAATATAGGTACAATCGCTAATTATGTAATTAGTAAAAATAATTGCTCAATTTCCTATAAAAATAGTTACACTTTATATCGTATTTTTATAGATACATATTTCATAAATACTCTTTCCACCATTTAAATGTTCGCGCCGTATAGAGGGGCGTATTTAATATACAAAATTTTACTTTCTGAATTTTGATATGTGGTAATAACAAATTCATTTTTACAGAGTCACGATAATTGTTTACAGACTTTCGAACGTCTGTTTCCGATTCATTCATATTTTCTTCTAGCATTTTAGTTTCTTTTTAATTCTTTCAAGTTTGAGTAATAAATAAATCAATGCCTATCGACTTCCAAAATTTTTGTTATATTGTTAGAAATATTTGAAATTACACAGGTGTATGTACACTTTCGTGACCGATCGTATGTGTATAAATTACGTACATGTAGGAACCATTATTGAATCCTTCATTGAATCAGAAACCTAATATAGTAGAATGTGTATCATTGTTGACAAATTAAACTGTCCCCAATTTAAGAAGATGATTCAAAATTAGTCGGAATATACTCGCAGAGTGAGCACCCATGCAACAATCTATCCGTACATGTGATACCTAATAATAACATTAATATCACTGACATTTCTACACACCCTATAAGCGACTTCTTTTTCACTACGAAGACACAAACAACAATATCACAACGAGTCAGTGTCACGAACAACACAAGTAATAAAAGTAACTGCTCTACACCGATGGTAGGCTCGGCTAATTTCGATACAATTGCCAATGGCCTTGTTTTGTTAGACCTAAATGCAATTGCACCATTGACCGTAGTAAACTTTCTAATGGCATGATTAATCAAATTACCGACGTGCCTGGAACCAGCTCAAATAAAAATGCAAACAATCACAATCGGACAGCAAAGTAGGTTCAGATTCGTGAATCTACGGCAATCTAAATTTTTAACAATGCATCGTCCTACGGTGCTGAACGAAACAATAATAAAATCATCATTTTGCATACATATCGTATATTTAAATGAAAAAATGTACACTCCATACGTCGTATGTTTTGCGTATCATCTTCAGAATATACCCGCGAAATTTTAGATTGTTATGATATATATAGCACATCTTACAAACTCTTTATACCTTAATCAGTTAGCTATCTTTGACGACTATACTCATCACGAAGAAATGACAATATTTTGCGTTGCGAGTATGAACCGTAAAAGCTTGCTATTTAATTTGCAATTTTAATGAAGAGTGAAGCATATTCATAAATTTCAAGATTTTCTGAATATTTGGTGGCCAAAACGAAATAAAACGATCAAATACAAAAATATAAATAATATTATTATCGCTTAATTCTTGCGACACATTTTAGGCAGATATTTTTCAAAGAGGATGCAACACAGCTAATTGGTTAAATACGAGTTATAAACGAAAAATATTGACCAATGAGAGGCGAGCTCGACTGGAGCAAGGCGGCCGAGCTCTCGCCCCTCATTGGTCGCTGTTTTTCGTTTATAATTCGCAAACAAAGCCGCGGATTGCATTTGCGCTAAGGAAAAAGTTACTTCAAATGACCTCAGGAACCCCTCATTCCCTGGAAGTGCCATAATTTTGGGACACTATGTATAAGTTTCAACAATGATGACCAGCATATAATATTTCAAGAACATTGAAATCGATAAGGTGTACAAACTTATCACATTAAAATAGATGTGTTTACAATTCGCATTGATTCTCTGAAATAGCTTTACATTAAAACGTAAATGTGCAAATAACATTTAATTACCAAACGTTGAAAGTAAACAAAATTGTTCTTAAGTAGTACGAATCCCTGATTGGCCCAAATACATGTCAAAAAGTCTTTAACTTTAGAGGAAAGGAACTTTTAATAAACATCATGACACTTTACCTTAAATACCGACAGTTCAAACAATAAATCAATAACAATCGGTGCAAGCTACGTGATTACACGCAGTTTACATTGAAAGACAAACTACCCGAGAAATATCAGATACCATGGTAGACTCAATGACCATCGATCACACCTTTCGGCTATGAAGACATATATCAACAAATAGCTATTTTAACTATCCCTAAAAAGTGCAATATCATCTACAATAACAATTAATCTAATAACGGTACTATTCTTCAAATCTTACAGATCCACAGAGGAGTACTAAAAAAAAAGAGAAAAAATTAAACTTACATGGATCCCCTTGGTCATGACCGAATTCCTGTCAACGAGAAAGCTGACAAAGCAGCCAAAGAAGCCATCAGCGTCCAATGTGTAAATACTTATTGTAACCTACACATGGACGATCTGTTAAAAGAAATGAGAAATAAGCTAATAACGCAATGAGAAGCAGAATGCAATCATTGTTAGCCTCGCTACCCGTCAAAAATGCATCTGAGAGGGTTTTCAGTGACCTTAAAACCACTAATAATGTTATGATAAAAAGGATAGATTGGCTGGTCATAGAAATGAGAGGTTCTTGAGGTTATTTGAAGTAACTTTTTTCTTAGCAAAAATGCAATTTGCGGCTTTGTTTACGAGTTATTAACGAAAAGCACTGACCAATGAGAAGTGTGCTCGTCTGGCGCGAGCCAACGAGCGGTCGAAATACTGTTCAGCTCATTGGCACGGTCGCATTACGACAGCCACACTCGCCTCTCATTGGTTACTGATTTTCATTAATAACTCGTAAACAAAGCTGCGAATTGCATTTTCGCTAAGGAAAAATTTACTTCAAATGACTTCAAGAACCTACCATTTCCAGATTGCGAGATATTCTTGGGACACCCCTTTGTGTTTAAATTCTTTCTCTTACTAGCTGCGGCAGTGGGGTAGCTAGGGGGTGCCTTCTTGCTGTATAAGGACTGCACTTTTATCGAGTTTCTTTTCTTTCCTTATTCCTGTTTCATTAAACTTTTTCTTAGCACCATATTTCTAGCTTCACCATAGATAAAAATCATTTAAGTTCGTTCTTTATAAATACATACATTAAAAGTATTAAGCAACGAACTTTTCTTTTATATTTCGGTAACTTCTGGCCGATTTTTGTAAAACGCGCCCAACACAAGCTTGAAAACTTTAAAAACTTAATTTTGAAAAAATGTCGAGGTCCTAACTTGAATAGTTTATCATGCTTTCGTACTTAACACGTTCACGACACATCTCGTAATTTACGTAAAAAATAGATAAAATACTTTGATTGCACGTTGTCTTTCTTTAAAATCATTATACATCGCATAATATCTAGAGTACCCACAACTTCGTGTTCCAAAATTATTTGAATATTTCGTCAAGATATATTGCATTCAATCAGAAGATAAACGACGAAAGAAATAATGGTCGCAAACGTGAGGCCGCTACACAAATATGTTCTTTTTTTTAACACAAAACGACTCTATCAACTTTCCCAAATGCAATGGTATATTTTTCGTAAACGCTGTAAATGCTTAAAAATATTTAAATAATATTTGTAGCAAGCAGGGTACCGTTAACGCAGCAATTCTTTCGGATACTTTTCAATTTATCTTGAACAAAGAGGTTCAAAAGCAAAATCTAACTATGCCATGCGAAACAGCGAACAATGACACCACTTTTAATTGACCTTTGCCCGTGTAACATTATTTTGTCACCAAGGAAACACAGTAGAGACTCCTTTATCCGAACATTTACTTTTACAATATTCTGGTATCAAAACCATCATTACCCAATCATTATATTATTTAGATACATTATCGCCTAGTAGAGAACTTGAATAAAATTTTTAGATAACAGAATATTTTGATATCATGATATTATAAAAATAAACCTTCGGATAACAGAGTCTCTACTGTATAAGGTGTTATTTACAAAGAAAATGGAGCTGTGCAAAAGTAGCTCTGCCTACACCGATTGATACTTTCCTACTTATTAAAAAAACTTCAGGTGTAACTTACCCTACAAAACATTTTCTACTTGTAACAACATTTTGAACATCCAAGCAAAGTTTATCGACTCCGTTTAATTAAGCACGATTACGAATAGTGGAGAACAAAAGTTATTCGGACACTTTTAAAACGATACAACATTTTAAAACTGGACTCAATGACTTGAATTTTTTTGAAAATGTTTCACTAGTTTACTGTGCAATGACTGTAATACTTATTTTTTAAATTTTACTATTACTTGGAATGAGAAAAAATATAAAAAAAACTCATGTTGCGTCAATTTTTTTATTTGAGCCTACAACGAAAATTTAAACTTTTTGTAAGACTCTGTAATTGACATGCATGCTGAAAATTTCATCGAAATCAGTTGACGTTTTTATGAGTTACAAACAATTAAATATCGTGAAAATTGCAGCTCTGGTTTTTGACATTTTCGACAGATAACTGTAAGAAATCTACATATTTGGAACTTTCAACATTATATAAATTATTGATATCTACAAAATATATTGTTTAAATTTTCGCTAACGGATAAAGGCTCACGGATAAAACAAGTTAAAAATGGAGTTAACGTAATAACAAAATTAAAAAAGAGAAGTATTTTAATCATTGTACAGTAAACTGGTCCCGTTTTGAAACAATTAAACCATTTTAGAAACGTCCGAATAGTTTTGTCCCCAACTGTATCTGGGGGACACAAAAATGGACAATTTAGAAGGAGGAAAAACGATTATTCGTTTTTATAGTTACCAATTGTCAACAACTATAAAAACGAGCCGCAAGGCTCGGATAATCGTATCTCCTCTTTTAAAATTGTGCATTTTTCTGCAGAATTTGAGCGGTAATTAGGAAGAATTTACTGCACTCTGCATAATTACAGTATCAGTAGTTCTGAAATGCATTAATCTGCATTCGTCGAGTCTTTGAAGAGAACTGTAGAACAATTGTACAATGTGAACAAAATTAATATTTATATCGCTAGGGCATAACGAATATTTACGTGTAAAACGGTTGTATTACTGTCTTGAATGAAAAAAAGAAATCAACAAATATACAATACTTACTCGGTAACTTCCAGTTGGTCAGCAACTTCTACGGAACCAAGTCTATAGTACACTTCGTGCAAAAACTTGTAACCTTGGCCTCCGCTGCCTCTACCATCGATCTGGGCGACGATCACATTTTTCCTACTAGCCAGGAATGTGTTCCAGTCTATTTTGAACATTTCCGTTACTAATTGCGTTCCAGGTGCACCGTATCTATATGACACGTACAATATCACATATAAGAAGATTATTCGATTAGACTAAGGACAGGACGAAAATTTTCGTCCTTTTTTATATTATACCACTAAAACGAAGGAAAGAGAATTCTATCAGTTTTGTAATCTTTTATCATAAGAGTTAAATTCTGCATTAAAATTCACAGCTTATGATGTGCAATATCATTAGACTGCTGATTTTATGGATTTATGACAAAAATGAATAGATCAAATATACAATTGTAAGGTTATTGGAAGAATATAAGAATATTGTGACATTATTTTTGACTTACTATAATTATTAAAAGAAAAGGCACATTTTCATTTAATTTGTGTCTTTTACGATTAACTTAAACAATTTTTATTTTACATAAAGTTCCGCAGTCTAATAATTATAATGTCATATAACAAAATTATTCCTTGTAACCTAATTTTAACGTATTCTATACTGGCGATGATTTTATAAACTGTTTAATAGATTGTTTAATGGGTCTAATTATTT